CAAGTGGCAACCGTAAACATCCTTAGGAAGGCAGTGGGTTGTGCCTTCTGTAGGTACTTATAGTCCAACTGGCTGGTGCTGTGGGAGGAGGCTGACGCAGTAATTTCTATGACCGCATCGTTTACTGCAGAAGTCCAATATTACATTTTTAGTTGCACAATGGATTTTTTCAGCTTTTCCTGTGTTTAAATATAACCAGTGGCAGAATACGTTCTGTATTATTTCAATTTTTTTTTTTTTAAATGGGAGAATAAAGGAGAAATGTCACACAGTGAGTAATACAAAAAGTGACTTAAACCAGCATACAATAAGGAACCTCGTGAAACACCAGCATTTTACACAGGGACACAGATGCATAAAATTTACTGTCAAAATGTTTATTGCAAAATAGAGGTTTGGAACAAAGAGAAGCAAAGGAAAAAGTTCACATCAAAAGAAAGTTTATGACACCAATTGAAGAAATTGAATACATTGTATGATTTCTTTTTGTTTGTTTGCTTTGGTTTTACACTGGAAAAATCAAATCCACAGTGTGAATAAAACAAGACATCATATGTCAAGTGCAATAAAGAGAATAACTGACGCTGCAAGGTTTTACCGCACAGAAGTGTAACATCGCATGTTCCACACAAAGGATATATTCAGTTTACAGCACAAGAGTTTTGGCACAGGCATTACGCTCAGCTTTGTTTTTTCAGAAGGGAAAATGAAATTTTCTAACACTGTGAAAATATTTTCTATTCAAATTTCATCGGTTCACACTTGAAGTGTAAGTAGCATTGACTCCTAGTATTCAGTACAAAACTTCTTCAGTAGTGCAAAAGCAAGAAATGCAGTGGACTATATCTGACTTTAAGAGGCGGATGAATATTTAGCACACAATATAAAATGTTTAAAGAAGGCTGTTGGTTCTACAGTTTTAAAGTTAAATTTTCACACATCAGAAATCTCTGTGCAGATTTTACAGTGTACACTAAGTCGAAGTCTGGGGAAAAGGGAAAGGTCTCTCCTCCAGATTCCTACCAGTGCATTTTAAGGGCTGTGAAAATTACTAAATAAACTTATTTTTCTACCTGAACGTTCCACCTAGGACTGCAGTTAAAACCTCTGTCAAGTTAGAGGTCTTATTAAAAACCTGTAAAAGCTACCTGATTACAGAAAAAGGAACTACAGTACTAAAGACACACAGTAATACTGCTGAATACTTAACAACTATATGCACACTATGGATTTACTCTGACAGCAATATAAATCACTATTGCATCAAATATTTAACTCAGAATAATCATTTCAAAACCCAGAAGGAAAGGGAATCAACATCTAACAAAACCACTGGAACAATAAACAGATGACAAGTCAAGAACATGACTGTGACAAGGAGCTACGCCAGACCTCACCTCCTGCAAGCCCTTCCCATCTAGAGGGGACAAGCTCCACGTCAGGCAGCACACAACCGGCTGGGGATGCAGCACACCTACACACCGTACCTTAGGACACTTGCTACTCCAAGGAATTAGTGGTGTGATCATCACATGAATTACTAGATCAAAAGTTTTCCTCCATTAATTCCCCCTTCCATTTTTTCCCCACTGCTGAAGGAAAAGAAAGGGGGTTGGGAGTTGGACATCTTGTCTTGGTTCCAGCTCACCCTGTATCTTTAAGCAAGCCAAAAGCCAATCCTCACCATTCTTCTCTCAGGCCATTTACCCATCTAAGTCAATGTTGGCAATACAACAGCCTGGTAAAAACGAGAAGTTCAGACCTGGTTCTTACCTTTCCCCTCCGTCAAATGCAGCAATATTATTTTACTGCAGATACCTCCAGGGCTTTATAGAAGGTAGAGAAAACTGGGATCCCCAAAAGCCTGGTGGGGACTAGTGAGCTGAGAGGTGTGCGAGGCATGGGAAGGCTTTTGGTGGCTTTGCTCACAGCCCAGAGCAGCCAGAGAAACACCTTCTGGGTTTGGTTAATGCTTTCATAAGCTGACACACTATGTGGCTGTGCACTGTTGTGGAGATCTATATACCCTGGGTGATGATACAGGTAGAAGACAGACGGGGTTTCGCTGCAGAGCAAAATCAGGTGTGGAAGATGAAATACTCTGACCTCCTCCAACCAACATACTTGCCCACCAGAGCCACTTTCAAAACCTTTATCTAGTGAGAAACATATCAGAGGCAGAAACAACACAGCTTGATTCTCACATGTGATTTTTGGCTTGTAAACTGGAGACATCTTGTATGAAAGTCATCACAGGAAAGTAAAAATGCAAGCAACACCATTATTTTTTTTAACAAGCATAGCCAATATCCTAAGTATAGCACTACCTCAAGGGAACTGCATCAGAAAAGTTTGTCATACGTTATCATCTTCTCTACAATTCAGAGACCACCTTTGCTATTTTGAACACACTAAGTTTTACAAGAGTTTAAATTTTTCCTTAATATAGCCTAATTTGCTTTGACAAATAATGTATGGGGGAAGAAAGGGGAAGGAGAAAAAAACCCCTATCTTTGTTTCATTAAAGAATACTGGAATTAAGTAGATAGCAGAAATTCCTATGAGCATGCTACCAAATTCTGATGATATTTTGCTGAAATAAGTTACACATCTGTGTAAGCACAAAACCTTGAAGACAGACTTAAATCTTGTGATTTTGCAACTATAAAACCCTACTTAAGGACTATTTTTATTTCTGTAAAGATTAAGGAGTGGATTTACAAATTCAGTTAAAACCCATGCAAATATAAATGTGCACAAAGTGCTCTGAGATTGTCAGATGCTAAAAAAGTGCAAAACATCAATGCTAGGGACAGATTTTTTGGGGTTTTTTTTGAATACTAAATGTATTCAACCAAATTTCATTTTCAGTTAAAGCTGTACAACCCTACACTGCTTATGCAGTACAGTAATTTATGCACAATGACACACATCTTAAGATCTAAAGTGCACATATTAGATTACACAAATCCATCAAATTTTCCTGGGTGCAAAGTGGCAGTTACAAAAATAGTATCATTGCTGTGGGCGTTAGCAGACGTAGACTTACAAAAATAGTACAAATCTGCACTGGAAACAGACTGTTTGCTCTTATTTCCATTTAATTATTCGGCCTTCAATGTCTCTTTTTCTCCCTAAAATCAGGTTGCTTTGATGGACCTAAGAAGCCATCCCTACCTGTGCTGAAGGAGCAAGCGTCTCCTTGGGATACTCCGTAAACTTATTACATCATTTAAATTACAGTTCTGTCATGAGGAAACGTGATAGAGAGGGTTTCCTGTATCAGTTAACTGATACAGGTTATCAGTTAACCCTGATACAGGAGGGTTACCTTCAAGGCAATGGATTTGCAACTGTTAGGAAGAAGGTGGAATGACATCCTACAGAAATTACGCATCTTGGAGGGTCTAATCCTATGCATACTGAGTGGAGTAGGCTAGCTCGAAGTGCAGCACTCGCCTCCTTGCAGGTCACCAGACCAGTGCTGATGCTTAAGGATAAAACAATTTTCGCTCACAACCCAAAGAGGTGCCCACTCGTCACTCTAGAAAAACTCCTTCAAAGAACTTTCTCTTTTGTTGAGTGAACATGTAATGATTTCAGGCCTGCTGTTATCTAATGTATCCATTTTCCTCTAAGCTATCTACAAAAACACTCACCATAATATGTAGGTTAGAGCTGTGTAACAGGCAAGCCTATAATTAAAGAAGCCACTCAAAAACAGAAGTTTTCATAAAAGAAACCCCTCCAGTAATTGAGAACGGAATTTTGATGGCTTATTCCCACTACGGCTGAACTAGACAGTGATGTTCTTCTTTTGAAATGCTGCCCTTCTTCCTTGGGCAAATATTTTACATCTTCCTTTCTAACCTGCATTTGTCTTCGCACTGGTTTCCCTCCCTCCTTCTGCATCACCACTAAAAGGGTCATCAGGAGAAACGTACTCCCGGCTCTCAACATAAGTGCCTGGCAGGCAATTACTGCAGCAGATTGTTACGCACTGAGTTTTACGGTAAGTCATAACAGCAGTCGCAATATTTCAAAAGTGATTTAGCTGCAAAAAACAGGTACGCAGAGACTAGTAAATATTCCTCACGTTACTGCCATCACGGAGAATTTCACATAAGCCACAGCAGCAGGGCCCAAGCTGAAATGTCGTTGTGGCTTCTCTTTATCCTTTCATAAGGGTAGCAGACAGGTTTAGGAGATGCAACAGAATCAAAACTTACTAACACCGATTTTTACTCAGGTACAAGAATAAGTCCATCAAAGTTAATGAGGCTTCCTGGATTTACATCAACATAACTGAAAATTAGCTTCTAGATCACAATACCTGATAATAGATGCAGAGGTCTGATTGCAGTTCACTTTGCTAGAGTGAATTATATACACATGCACATACACGTGAGGGGAAAAAAGAACATTTATACAAATCATCTACTGATAGGGATTATCTGGATTCTGCTGCTATTCAGTTTTTAAACTGTGTATTTAGCTAACCCCTCTCTTCCCCTCAACCAAGCTTCTCTCTTCCTAGAAACGTATTTGTGACTTCCCACAAAGCCGCCTTGAAAAAGGCCTTAAATTAGAAACACAGCAAACCCGTTCACTGCAACAGTACGAAAGAATGGATTGTAGAGAATAGCAAATCTGGAAGTACAAGTATATTCGTATGATTGACAATTAAAGGGGTAAGGGAAATGACAAAAAACACAAAAGAAAAATTTGAAGTACATTAATGGCATTAAAGGCATTGAAGTTTCCCCCAATGTTTTCAGATCTTAAGTTTATCAAGCCATAGTTTCTGTAATCAGGCATCAAGAATTATAGATATAATCACGGTTCTTAAAATAATAATAATCTCAATTAGTTTGGAAAGTTTAGTTCCAAATTTCATCAAAGCAGAAATAAGTCAGCACAATCTAAACAAAAACAACATGTCTTTCTACACACAAACATGCTCAGCCTCATGAAAACGTCTCACTTTTTTTTTTTCTTTTACAGGATTTAAACAGACCAAACTGACAGGATTCTTGTTCTAAAACTTTATTGTTTTGCTTTCCTAAAACCAATTTCAGGGTTAATTCTATAATTGATTTCATTCACTGCTATCATCTGTGTCATCAAAATAATCATCATCATCATCATCATCGTCATCTGACCAGTCGAATTCACTGAAACCCAAAGCCATGTTGATTTTCTTTCCTTTTCTCATAGAGGTGGTTTTAGAAGAATTCTTTTTGGCTTGCATGTTTATCTGCATTCCAGAATGCAGGACAGATCCTGCTTGGTTCAGAGAGAAGATATCCCCAAAGCCCGTCATCATCAAGGCCTTCAGACTTTGGTTCATGCCAGCTACCTCCCCGTTACTTGTTGCTGTGATCTGACATGACATCTCTGCACTGTTTGACTCCTCTGTTTTAGATTCAAAGTAAGACTCCTCAGACATTCTTGCAGCAAGAGGTAAGAAAAACTATTTAAAGGAGGAAAGGACAGAGCAAAAGTGAAAGTTAGAACCAATTTAAAATTCGAGGAAAAAGACACCACCAGATTAGTTGGCAATCAACAGAAAGCACAACGATTAGTGAATCTAAACACAGAGATCACGTAAGAATTCATTAAACCAGACAGCTTCATTCTGGGGTCATTGTTCTTAAACCAAAGTGCAAAATCACTGAGTCGCATGGCAAGAACCACAGGTAGCAGAGCTTTCATGACAAAAGAAGGTTCAAACTCTTCAATCCTTCATTTTGTACAGCGTAAAACAGAATGTGACATTTCCCAGCCAGGTGGACTGGCTCCCAAGGCAATGCGGGTACAACAGAAGTCTGAGTGAGTGGCTTAATTGAACCTTTCAGGATTGAAGAATAAATTATGTTAAGATCAGAGAACCCAAACAAGCTCCCAAAGTTTGGTGCAGAAGTAGCAGCCCTCTAAATATCAGAAATAACAGCAGCAGTATTATTTGTGCAAAGACTGGTTTTGAGCGAATGCTCAAAAAGAGAGAAAGGGGTCACCCTGCGACGGCCACAATCAGAAACGAGCCTCTCACGAACACAAAGGACACGGGAACCGGCCTCCAGCCCGCACCAGCACCTTGCTTCTGGAAGCTGTCCCAGGGAGAGGCAGGCAGGGGAGAAGAGGGGCTGTTTGGTCGGCTGGTCAGCTTCTTCAGCTTGGTTGCCTTTTCTTTTTTTTTATCTTTCTTTTTTTTTTTTTTTTTTTTTTTTTTTTTTTAAAAATTTTTTTTCCTTTTTGTTTTACATCTTTTTAAATTT